CAAACCAGTATTAGCACCGTGCACTTCAGGAACGCTTGGTATACATACATTCACTGTCATCTTACTGTGTAGGACTGGGTGAACTTTGGTAAAAAGGGAGAGGAATGGTGTTGCTGTGTAACGATGTTTGTGTGTGAGACTGAGTGTGTGAGAGATGAAAAAGAGGGGTGGCCAAACACAGTTTCAGCCTAGCCAGAGTTGCCACATGGCTACCTTCATAGATAGCTGATTGAAGCTTCACTCATTTGTGAGAGTCATTTAAGAGACGGGCCAAACTAAATCAATAAGAACAAGGAAGTGAAAGAAAGTAATGTACAGCATAATTGTTTTGAAGAAAATAAAACTCTTTCTTGACTTTATAATCCATAGAGTCTGCACTGATCAAATATTTTTAGTTCACCTCACCACAGTTCAAAGAATTGTCCTTCTTAAATAGCCATACTGACTTGTAAATACATATTTTCTAGGAGGTTAATACTCAATTTAACATGATAGTTACAGGTTTCCCAACAGCAAACAAAAATCTCTGGGAAATTCAGTTCTTCTTACGTATTTGAATGTGTACTTCCTGAAGTTTTTAGTGTCATTAATCTTTTCTCGGATGGCAGTCTGGGTCAATGATTAATTGCATTAAAAACAGTGCCTTGTCACAGATTTAAAGCTATTCTGGAGAGGATTCCACAGTGGGAGAAACACCCACTGCTAGCAGTATTACCCAAATTAAACAAAAGAAAATGTTAAATAATAGAAGTATTTCACCTGCAGCTGAGTTGAAGCATTAACTAGCAGAAGAGTATATGGTTGCTCATATCAGGGGTGTTTTTAAATATTATTTCAATGCAGAAAAAGAAAGAAGGGAAGACATTTTCCAATTCTGCAACTTCTATAGAATAAAAGCTAGGATATGTTGCAACAACTGTTTAGACAACATAGCATTTGGAAAATCTGTTACTCTGACAGTCTTTTTTCAGATTTGAGCTGATAGGGACAAACTGTACACAGAAACCACAAACAAGTCTTGTTACAAATGTTAAGGAGCATAGAACCTATGCAGTGATGCAAAACACAAAGCACATGGAAAGCAACATGTTCAAGAGAGTTTTGGTTTTCATACAATGAAGGCATTCAAAGTTGAAGTTGCAATAACAGACAAAAAAGGTATTCTTTCTAACAACTCTTCAATATCTTTGTTAATAGATCAGTAAAGAAGAATGCAGTCTCATAGAGGAGTGCTGTAGTTAATGGAAATGCAGTTATGTAGTGAGTTGTTCAGGTCGTAACTTCTTGTTTAATATTCTGCCCAAATGCCACAATTACGCTTACCATCCCAACTGCTTGAATTCATTCTTTAATTTTAAGGCATGAGGAGCAAAGTGGTGTAGTGATTCAAGTTTGCCTTTTAATCTCCTTTCCTTTTGCAAATCCCAGTGAGGCAACTCAACTGAGTGTGTTATTCCATCTGGAACTCTTAAGCTTAATGCTTTAACTCATTATTTTCAAATGACATTTGAACACCTATCCCAAAAAGTTAAGACGAGTTGTGCTTTTCGGAGAGGTTTGTAAAAGCAAGTCTTATACCCTTCAGCTCTTCACTCTGATAACTGGATGTATTACTTTTCTCAGGCGTAATAAATGAGGATTATATCTTACCTCTTGTATTTGGCAGTTGAACAGTGATTTTTTTGAGGCTTACCTCAGTGCAGCCTTTGTTAAGAGTGCTTAAATCCCAAACCATCTAAAATAAGAATCAGAGGTAGCCTATAAAGTAATTCCCTCATTGGAGAGAGAAGGGACTGAGATATGATACACAATATATAACAGACTCTTAGCATGCTTCAAACATCACCCTGATCCAGCCAGCTCTTATATTATAAAAAATATATTAGAAAGCCAGTTCCAAATATTTGACCACATACTAGTGTGGGAAAGAAACATGCCCCAGTTGGAATTTATGAGAAAGTAGGGATAAGGATGTGGAGAGTGTTTAGCTGTCATCCCACATCCACCCCTTTTACTTCATTCCATATAAATGAATGGCTTTCCAATTGGAATTGGGAAGAAAAGAGCCTTGAACAAACTACCATTCCCAGAATCCCGTTGCATTGAGCCATGGCAGTTAAACTGGTGTCAAACTGGATTATTTCCACAGTGTGGATGCAGCAATTGGGAGCCAAATCTCCCTTGAACTTTGCAGGGAGGAAGGGAGGCCGCACTACACTTCCCAGGGAACTTTGCCATTTAAAAGCACTCCATCAACATACAACACAGACCACTCCATCAATACACAACATAGCCCATTAACCACAGGAACTTTTCAAGCTATTTCTATGATGCATCTATCCAGTTGTTTTTGGAGTGGTGTTGAGTTTTGGGTTGCAAGAGTGTTTTAAGATTATTATTATTATTATTATTATTATTATTATTATTATTTTTAAATACAAAATATGGCGAAGTTGACTTAGAGGTATAATGCCAGTCCTTTGCAAAGGGAAGCACACCTCAGCCTTTTGGTTTCAATAGGTTTAGCTACCCGACGAGTTAGATTTAGAGCCTTTATGCTTGGAAAACGAGTTAAATACAATAAAATTCTAAGGAAGGCTCTACATGAAAAGCATGGTTAGAGGGGAAAGCCCTTGGCTGAAAAGCAAGGCAATGTAGCCACCAAACAGGAAAGAACAAATGATGGTTCACAAAAATTGCCAACTTGCTTATACCTGAGTGTTTCCATTTATTGAATAATCTTTCTTCCCAATTATACTGGCTTCCAACTCCTTGATTATCCCTCTAATATAGAAAATTTCAAAAAAGAAATCTTAGAATATTTTAATAGCAAAGACACATATGGAGCTATATTTTTATAAATGAAATTTACAGAACTGCAGGTATAATCCATTTTGCCCTTTATTTTTCCATTCTGTATATTTTATATATTTTAGCATATTATATATCTATCGAGATGTACACACACACACACACACACAGTTTGCTTGAATTTTAAACATTCGTAAAAGTTGGCTCTTTCCAAGATTTTGAAACAGGCAGCTCTAGGGCAGAATCTATCGCAAGATCCTACCAACCAAAATAGTTTCAACAATACAATTTGTTAACTTGAACTTATCCAGTCTTAGAAAATTATACATGCATAGCTTTTGCCCGGGAGGATTTTTTTTCCAAATTTAATCATGCTGAGCGATTTTAAGTGATGAGAAAAGGTCCCTTTGTTTTTATGAAGAGGGTAAATAACTTTTTCAGTTGAGCGTTCCTACACAAATGCCGTTATATGTGATATTCCTTTACAAATGCCTCAAGGTGGGAATTAATCTCTTTTTTTTTTTCCTTCATCAGACTCCATTCCTCTGGGTAAGCTCTGTGTTTGGCATTCATGGCATTGCTATATATGGTGCTTTGTATCTACATTTACACGATTTTATAGATATAACTCCTAACCTCCCTATGTGATCGGAGGACAATTACACTCTGGTTTGCTGTGGTACTTTGCTGTGTACTCTGTGGCATACATGTTACTGTGTAAATAAACTAGTTTTATTACACTGAAAATTGAAGCCTACGCTGTCTCCTTCCTACCTGGCTTTGATATCTCTATAGCAAGGGAGATGTCCTGGAAATAAAGTTGCTTACATGCGGATCTTTTTTTCCCATGACAAATGCAGCTCAGAACCAAAATAGACATGATAGTCGGAGAGCCATTCATATACTCTGCTCTTTTTAGCGATTCCTTATTCACAACAGATGTTGATATTCTTATGGATGCCTATTGTATTAACAAAACAGATGTGAATACCTTTATTCTGTCTAGAAATCACCGAGGCGGTACATTTAGAATATATTGTGAGTTTCAATGCCTCACTCTTCTGGATGTGATTTGTGTGTTGATGGTTGAGTGTTGAGCCTGCCCATTCACTCTGCCTTATATTTAGGCCTCTTGTTTTTCAACCTTGCTTCTTAATCATGGCTTAATTTTCATTGCTTTGACAAAATGAGACATTTTGCCTCCCTTCCAGAAGTTGTTCATGAAGGATGGAACTGCATAGAAGAAACCGCATCTGCTTGGCCTTTCCCTCACCATCTTTGCCTTTGGAAAATAGGCAGTATGGAGGAGAGCCCCGTTTCTGTCTGTAGCATCTCTGGTTAAAGAAAAAAAAAAAAAGAAAGCTTGTACATTTCAGAGCTTCCGCTAACACAGTAGTTTCCAAAGTTTGATCTTCCAGGTGTTTTGGACTTCAACCCTCAGAAGACCTGGCCAACTTGACCAACTGTCGGGAATCCTGGAAGCTGAACTCTAAAACATCTGGAGGACCGGGTTTGGGAATCCCTGCTAATGGAAGTGTTGGAGAGTTGCTAGCAATCAGATTGGACAAGACAGACCAGTTGTTTGCTTTGGTATAAGGTATGGTGATGTGGTTTGAGTGTTGGATTGCTATTCTGGAGACCAGAGTTCGAATCCCCACTTGGACATGAAACTCACTGGGTAACCTTGGGCAGGTCATACTTTCCCAGCCTCCAAGGAAGTCAATGGCAAACCACCTTGAACAAATCTTACCAAAAAATCTCCATGATAGGGTCACTATAAGTTAAAAATAAAAACCACTTGAAGGAACACAGTGACAACTTAAGAGTGGGAAAACTTTTTCATTTACTGCTGCTGTTAAAAGAACTGAATCTCTTGCCAGTTCATTCCTTCAAATCCACAAGAGATCTCTCAGAACACACATAATGATCTGTTCTGCTCGAGTCTAGAGGTCCAATCCACTAGTAGATCTCCTCTGATATATATATA